ATATAAAAAAATCTTTTTTTCAGCTTTTCAATTTTAAAAATTGATAAAAAATTTTTTTGCGCTAACAGATGTTACCTAAAAACTATTAATTTGTTGAAAAAAACTATTTTTCTGTTTCTTTTTTTGTTCTTCTTTGCTCTGTCTAACAAAAATTTTTATGGAATATATTCGGCGTATTTCAAACTGCATCCAGTATACCACCAGAAACAGCTTTCTACTTTTCATATTTATCTTTGTGTGTGTGTCTGTGTGTGCGGTTCAATACGGTGGTGTATAATCGTTTAACATTATAGTTTATTTTATAAATTGTCATCTTCTTTTGCCTTGTTTTTCGTTGCTCTTCTTTTCTTTAACAAATATCTGATAGACCTTCGCTGACAACTGACCAGTGGTTTAGATGAAATATTCATCATCAGTTTGATGAAATCATGGGAACTGTTTTTGGAAACCCCCAATACAGAAGGGTGAGGATAAGGCAAAAGCCGTAAAAAACGGAAAAAAGAGTAGACAAGGAAGTTTATCTGCATAGGATTTCCACCAAAAGTTCTGAAAAAAGAATTTTTTTCCCAAACTATGGATTAAATATTTTATTTTTTCGTGGCTTTTTTTTTATTTGTTCAGTTTTTGAACCGTTTAACTGCTCTCAAATCTGGTCAAAAATAAAAAAAAAAAATAAAAGAAGCAAAGACATCAACAAAAACAGAAAAAAGGAAATAAAGAATTGGTATTTTGAACTTGTTTTTTTTTTTATTCTTTTCGCTGTTTTGGGTTCTTTCTTATTTTTTTTTCTACTCTATTTTTTTTAAGAAGAATGCATTTTCTGTGTGCAAAAGCATGAAAATCATATTACGCTGCGGGAGGCTAAAACTCTGCACGAAAACAAATTCGGAATAAGCAGATCTTCTGTTTTGACGAAATCACAAACAAAGATTTGAAATTTTTTTCTGTCGAGAGATTAAACGCATAATTTTTTGAGCTAATTCTTTCTGGATACACCTGGATGTGTGTTTAGAATCACTGCTGAAAAAAAAGAAGCTTTTTGAGATTCTTTTATGGCTTATAATGATGGCAATTTTTTGTTCACATAACTTCATTTAGTACTTTGAGATATTTACAGCTGACTGTGTTCGATAAACGCCACAGTGTTGTTATTGTGTCATCCATATAACATCAACTTTACTTTATCATTGAATGACTGCTTCTCACTCTGTTCCGAATGTACACTGAATTTTATCTAACTGTAGTAAGAAACTGTCAAATGTATAATAGCTACATGTATTTTACAGAGAATACTGGTAAGAAGAATAAAACTGGAAGAGATTAACATTTAGAAATATGAAACCGTCCTGAATCTACTACATAATGGCACCAAGATCAAACCATCACTAAGTCTTGCAAAAGATCAACGGTCAAGACCAGGTTTTTGTTGGGCTTTGTTCAATTAATTTATATTTCCTTCTCTTTCGTTGACATAGTTTTAACTTGATTGCTTATAGCTGAACACCATAAATTTTTCGGCATCCGATTGGATGGGGAACTGGGAAACAGTTAAAGCACGGCTTCTAGAAGTCAGTAAGGTTAAGGATACCAACTTTAGAAGTATGGTCTCGGAGCCATTAATTGAAAAATACTTAACGAATATAAAACAAGGCGGGGCAGCAACACAAGGGCAATGCAATAATGATTTGTCGAAAAGCAGATGTCGCCATCGTAGCAATACCTCATCGGAGCTTGATCTGAACATTGATAACAGCTCAACATCGTGGATGCGCGACTGTAATCAGACATCGTCGTTAAATGATCCTTCTCCATTAACTACCTCGGTTGGTGAGGTGTACAGTGATTTAAGTCTTACACCAACACCACAGGATCCGTCTAAGTGTGCATCGGTTCATTTTACCGAGTAAGGCTCTAACGTTAATGGCTTTATTTATCTGGTGTATACAAGCCAACAACTTTTAATTATCTTAGATAGTCTTCTAATCTTCTACTTTTTTCCATTTTTAAAACGATTCAGGACAGCTGTTTGTTTTCTTGCATGTTTTGCTTTAATCATAGGAAATCTAACTAATTTTGCTTTCACTGTATAATACGGTAGAGAAGGAAAAAATTTTATCTTTTTTTTCTTCAGTTTAGACAAACCTATAAAAATAAAAGCAAAAAAAACAGTATGCAGAAAGAAAGTTCTTCAACACCTATTTGTGAATATAAATTCGTATATATATATATATATATATATATATATATATATATTTATTGTATATATAAATATATATAAATTTTTATATTTTTATATATTCGAAAAAGAAATAGAGAAGAAAAGCAAAAATAGCTTAACTAGTTTTTTATAAAATTTTCTTCTCAAAATAACAGCTATAAAAAAATTGGAACAGCAAAAAAAATTGAAGTTCTGATTGTAATATACTGCTTAAAAAGATCAGTTATGGTTGGAAATAGTTACCATGTTGTTTCAATAAAAAAATACATTCACAATCTCTAGCAAATTGTGGCAACAAATAAAAAAAAAAAACAAACTGAAGAAAGAAATGAAAGAGAGGAAGACAGGTGCGGAAATAAAATAGCAGAAAAAAATTACTGTTTTGCTAGCATTTTGTACGATAATTTGTCTGAATTGACAATAGTACATCTTTCTATTTTCTTCTTTATTAGTAGCAGCCAGCTTATACTTTTACTGTCTGAAAGTAAATGACAATAAGAAGTTCTGAAAAAAGCTTTATTTTTTTATTTTTAGAGATGATTCTTCGCCATACATCAACGGACCAACGTTGGAAAGATGTACGTCACCAGAACGGGTGGATGCTAAAACTAACGCCTTTCTCGAAACTATTCAGAGGTGATCATTGCTCTTTTTCTTTTTGTTTTTGCTCATTGTTTCCTGTTTCGACTTTTTTAAGTCTTTATTATTATTTTTTGTGTTTAACAAAAAAAAAAAAAAAA